ATTTACTAAATAGTTAATAGAAATTTTCAATAAAAATTAATATACAATTAATTTTGTAGCAAACGATATGTTTATCTTAATGGTTTTGAAAAAGCATTTCCTTTTAAAGTTGGTCATTATTCTTTCAATTTTGGCAATAATTCATTCAATGTTACTTGGGTATGGAAAGTTAATATATGTGTATCAGAATCAGAAAGAATGAATGAATCACAAAAGCTTACTTCCGGTCTTGAAGAATTGGTACCACAATATCTTTCCAGGAAACAAAAATATGCATTTATTAATTCTGCTGAAACCCTTCTTGGCGCAAATACAGTAAAAAAATCAATCCTTCGAAATATCTACAAGACACTTACACAGGATAGTACTGCAGCTAATTGTGAAAATGAAGCAGAGATTGATGCACGTGTAGTAAAAGCATTACATTTGGGTGATTCAAACATTATAATTGATTTACGTGAATTAAACCTTGGTCGACCAGAAAAATATAATGTTTTTTGGGAATATTGTCAAAAATTTTTAGATGGTGCAGTAAAAAACTCAGTGGATTCTCTATTAGCTGTTGATAAATGACGTCATGATACAATTGTTCATTTAGCAAAAGCAATTTCAGTTAAAGTTTTACGTATTCAAGTAGCTGCAATTTGTCCAGATGATACACCAATACCTCATGAACAATGGATTCGTCTTCAATTCTGGCCAAAAAACCCCAAAATAATACAAGCCTCCAATATACAGGCCGCTTACAAGTAAAATTTATGGTGCAAATTCGCCAACTACAAATTGAGCATGAAGATGCTCATTATGCATCTGCATTATTTAGATATCTTAAAGAACTGGCTGTTATACTTTCAGGCTTTAGCTGGTTGGTATTTCTTGATGATAAACATCGTTGTAAAGTTGGAGAGCCAGGATTTCCTGTGGCTGCAGTGGATAGAGGCAGATCTGTCTTGGTTTCTCAAGAGGAAAGTTTTGTGAAGCAGATCATGATTTTACGAAAACTGGTCTTATTCCTAGTGTTACAATGTTATGTGATATTCCATCTGATATGAAAGGTTCATTTTATCGTGGGCAAGTTAATATTGGGTTAAAAGATCCTATTTTTGAATCAAGTACACCTATGCGTCATGCTGCAGAATTATATGATATTCTTATAAATTCACAACAAGGACATCACTACTTGTTAGTTTATACAGATGGTGGTAGTGACCATCAATTAAGATTTCTTCAAGTTCAACTTTCATGGATATGTCTATTTTTAGCTTTAGATTTAGACTATTTTGTAGCAGTTAGAACTCCTCCTGGACATTCCTGAAAGAATCCTGTAGAAAGAATTATGTCCATTTTGAATCTGGGTTTACAATCAGTAGGATTGATGCGTCAAGAAATGGGACAGGAATTTGAACATTTAATTGAAGGATGTAATACTATGGAAGCAATANTAAAGCATTTAAAACATTTGATGCTGCAACGGAACAGGAAATTGACAATTTGTGGGAATCAATTTTACAATTGGATCCTGATTTAAATAAAGATACTACTAGACAATTTAAGCATGTTAAAAATATGGTAAATATTTAATTTATTGACATATTAAAAATTTATAAACATAATTACTAATTTTATTCTTATATTTTACAGTCAAAATTTAATGAATTTTACGATCATTGTTGCTTAAAACGCCACTATTTCTTTGAAATAAAAAAGTGTGGTAATGAGTTTTGCGAAATTTGTCAGCCACTTTCTGGGGATAAACAAATGTTTGAAAAATTAGCCAATTTTCCTGATCCAGTGCCCGGTAATAAAAATCACTACATGTCATTTAAAGAAATATATGGAAAGGAAACTAATGAAAAGCACCGACCATCACTCAAAAGCAAATCTAATAATAATACCACTAATTCTAATGATTTACAATTAAAACCAACACAACAATATGTTCGTAATGTGGGTCAATGTGTTTTGTGTATTAAATGCAATAGACCAAGAGTTTTATATTCTAAATGTAAAGTCAAACAGGAGATGATTCGAAAGTTGCATTCATTTTTAGAGACTGTTGATTATAGTTGTGGTGCTACTTTTGTGGATCTTACGGATTTATCTTTTGCTATAAACTCAAAAGCAAGAGAAAATTTGAATACAAATAGGGAAGGTACAAGCAATACGGAACAAAATCAAGAAAACGAAATGGTTAGAGATTTGTTTAAAGATATTTTTGTAAATGCAAAGTTGAGTTGTCAACAGGAAATGGAAAGAACTTATTACTCTACCAAATGTTTCATGGCAGTATGCTTTAATTGTGGCATTGCTGACATTGAAATTCCAAGTAGCAATGATACCTATCCATACTGTAATGAATGTGAGATAGGTCCCGGATTTAAGCGAAAACGTGAAAAAGGTTTAAAGTTTGGCGGTGAAGAACATTAAAAGAAAAAAGCCAAAAAAGCTTAGCCAAACGGCAAACGGTATATCTATGTCACAAAATTAAGATTAATGCAAATTTATATATAGTAATTACCTGTCTCTTATACACATCTAGATGTGTATAAGAGACAGCGGTATATCTATGTCACAAAATTAAGATTAATGCAAATTTATATATAGTAATTACAGTGCAATTTTTGTAATTGATATTTTGCGTATTTGATATTAATATAATATAAATATTAACCTGCTTCATAAAATTTTATTAGTATATTGATCACGTGATAAAAATAATAAAATTTTCGAGTTTTCAGATTTGAATCACACGGCCGGTGATGAGAAACATGTAATTTTATTTGTCTCGCCAATATTACTATTTAAATATTGAGCAATCTGTTAATTATTTAAGCATTATTTATTAAATATCTTGTTTATTAGATCAAATAATTTCATTAATGATTATTTTGTTGTTCAACATTTTGTTAGCAAATTTTATATTTATAAAAAAATTTTTCTGTTATTTATTTTGTAAATATATTTTTAATATAAATATTAAGAAATTATTAGTTTAAGAAAATATTTTTTTTATAAATTTACCATTTACATTTATAAATGGCTTATGTTTTATATCTAATTACATTATATTTTTTAAAACATAAATAAATTTATAAAATACTTGTTAGATTTACCAAATTACTAAAAATGGTAATAATTTTAAAATACTACTAAAATATATTTTAATACATCAAAATATTTTTATTATACTTTTATTATTATTTTGTAATTATATTGTATTTAAATCTATAAAAATAACTTAAAATAATATCACAATAATTTTTTAATGCTTTTATTTCAAAAATATCTTTAAATATATTTTGATATATTTTAAAATGATAATTATATTTTAACGCGCGTGCGTTATAACGCTAGTACCACAATTTCATGTGATCTGATATCATAATTATATCATTTAAAATCATCAGTGATGTAATCATATTTATCAATAGTTTCTTCCAAACACCCCATTTGTTTTCAAATCAAACTAATACACACTAATAAAATGTCTGATGAAAATATTGAATTTTCTGAAGAAAATTTGTTACCCTATCCTTCCAATGAAGTTACGAATTCTGATCTGTTTAGTGGCAAGATTTTTTCATCCTGGGAAGAGTGCGACTCATTTTTTGATGGTTGGTCTAAAAAAAATGGATTCCATATAAAGAAAAATCGTGTATTACGTGAAGAAGGCAATATCTGACGTCGAACATATTTATGTGTTCATGGTGGTTCATATGAGTCAAAATCCAAAAAAGATACTTCCACGAAAAAAACCAAATGTCCATTTTTAGTCAATGTTTCATGTTCTAAAACCAAAAACCCGAGTTCAAATGTTGTTGTTAATAAGCTTATAAATGAACACAATCATTCTTTAAGTGTAGAAATGATAACTTTCGAAGAACAAAAGAAATTTACAACTGAAATGATGGAAGACATCAAGTTTCTAACATCTCATTGTAAATTTGGTGCGACAGCTCAAAGAAAATTCTTGGAAGGAAAGTATCCTTCACAACCAATATATTCTAAAGATTTATACGCAGCTATTCAGAAATTTCGTCCAACTTCTAAATCACTATTAAATGATGCTGCTTTGATGTCCAATTGGTTGGACCATCAAAAAGAATGTGATTCACGCTGGGTGATTGTTAGAGGATGGGATGATGATAATACGCTTACCAGGTTATTATAGATGACCCCTGAACAAGTTGATAATTGGATACAATTTTCGGACTGTGTATTAAATGATGTTACACATAAGACAAACCGCTACGGTATGGCGTTATCATTATTTGTAGGATTCAATTGTCATCGAAATAATATTCTTCTTGCTCAAGCCCTACTTTCTGATGAAAGTATGGAATCACACCTTTGGGTTTTTCATGAAATATTAAAGGCAACAGGAAGGCAACCGTCAGTAATAATGACTGATGCCGACCCTGCAGTTGATTCTGCAATTCGACAAGTTTTTTCACAAACCTATCCAATTCATTGTGCATTTCATATGACGCAAAATATTAATAAAAACCTGAGAAAAATTCTTGGAGACTCTTATCCAAAGTTTTTAGATGCATTTTATATATGCAGAAATAGCCTTGCAAATGAAACATTTGAAAAACGGTTTGAGAATCTTTTTCAGGATTTTCCCGATGCTAAGCCATATTTGAAAACGCTATATCAAACTAAAACTTATTGGGCTCATTGTTTCACAAGTTTTAAGTTTACAGCTGGCATGATTGCAACTTCCCGGGTAGAAGCTGTTAATGCTTGTTTGAAACGATTATTGTATAATTCAAACATTTCTTTATGTGATTTAATGACAGAAATACATAGACTTTTAGATATGCAAGATAAAAAAGAGCAATATAACTTCTGGAAACTTGCTATTCCTTGTATAAGAAACCAAGAAAAGTCTAACTTTCTTTTTAGAAAATTAGATAATTATTTGGAAAAATTTCTTACTCCTATAATGCTTCAAAGACAGCGTGATGAAATAAACCAATCAGTTTATTATACTGCTACAAAATTACCTGATAACGATATAGAAACTATTATTGAAGTAAGTTTTTGCTTTAGTTAGGGTTAGGATTAGGGTGGGTTATTAGGGTTAGGATTAGGGTGAGGTATTAGGGTTAGGATTAGGGTGAGGTATTAGGGTGAGATTAGGGTGAGATTAGGATGAGATTAGAGTTAGGGTTAGGGTTAGGGTTAGGGAATAGGCTTAGAAAAAACTTTTTATACTAATTTATTTGTTTTAAAAACAGAGTTCCGACGATTGTAACATTGAAATTCGTGATGCATCAGAAGCAGAAGTTCAGCAAATAACATTAAAACAGATTATTGCTTTGGTGGATTTAATTAACATCACTGAAATATGGTCTATAATTGTTAACAACACTACAGCCATAAAACATTACATTGTCTTATTGAAGAATAATTCTCATATTTGTTCATGTCTTTCTACTATTCAGCAAGGTGTTGTTTGTAGGCATTATTTTCAAGTAATGCTTACAACGAGTAATGCTAAATTTCATATTCGCCTTATTCCTTCTCGCTGGTATTATAAAGATCTAGATGGAAGTAATGAACCTTTTTTTACTGCAGATAAATTTTGCAAAGAAAATGATGGAATTATACAAGAATCACCTGTTCATATTGATTATCTATGTGCATATGGTCAAGATAAAGATTTTCTTGAAGAAGGTCTTAATACATATCAGCAAAGGTTGGTTTATGGAGAATTACATGGAATGTACAAGAAAGCTCTTCATAAAGCACTTCAAAACAAGTCGAGTTCACAACAACTTATTGACCTATTGAAAGAATTTACAGAAGAAACTGATGAACCATCTGAAGATGAAAACTTTAGTGATAAAGAAAATCAGGAGCATGTGCTTCACAATCCCAAGAAAAGACGTGGAAAAGGTCGACCATTAGGTACTAAACGGTTCAAATCATCACAAGAAACTAAAAATAAAGAAAAACATCAAAGACGTTGCAAAAAATGTGGAAATGTTGGGCATTATCAAAAAAATTGTAATAATGTTTAATATCTAGTTTTTATTGAACTATGTAAGCATTAATTACATTTATATTATCACTTGTTAATATTAATAAAATTCATTATCGGCGTCATGTGAATTTGTACAAAAAATCATGTGATATATTACCTGCGCTGTAACGCCATTGCGTCAAATTATAAAATTCTTTTAAAATAATTGTATAATTGTTTTAAAAGCCATTATATCTAGGTCTATAAAAATATTTCAAAAAATTGGCAATTTTAGTAAAGTAACTGAATTATTTTATAAGTTTTATACACCCTCTATTAATAGTAAAATTTCATATAATAGGAAAGTATAGCCAAACCTCTGAAAGTTGTGATACTGATCCATAATATAAAGTAATATATTTTTTTTTTTTTTTTGTATATTTTATACTAGAGATAGGAGGATTTAGTAATATATCTAACAATCCAAATTATAATTCTGGTCAAATTTTTTTAATTCTGGCTAAATTTATATTACCAGCCTAAATTTTATTAAAATCAAAAATTTAGGTTTAATATAGGTAATACTGCATTTACATAATTATATCTAGTTCTTAAAAATACTTTATAAACTTTAAAATTAAAATTTTGCTTTATTTAGTTCAATTTGAACAAAGAAAGTTTATTACGTTCCTGATTATAATTTTTGTAATTTTTAAATGTATTTCGAATTTACTTATGATCATCGTTTCTCAAATAAAAATGTTTTATATATCGTACCTCCTCTTCTTTTTCGTATCTTTTCTTCTTGCTCGCTCACGTAAGTTTCTCTGTTCATCGTATATCTTACGTTTTTCAATACGTGCATCAATATGGAGATTGAATTTAACAACTTTTGTTAAAGGTTTAGCCTTAAATTTGAAAGGTTCAGTTTTCTTGACGCGCCCAGAATTGATATCACTTGAATCAACCGGGTTTGATTGTACCTTATCATTATTAATTTCATTTCCCTTGTTCTACTTCCTATAGAAATTATTATAAATATTTAACATATAAAATGGAGAAGAACTCTTTATTTAATTAAGTTTACCTGGTTCTTTCAGCCCTTAATTTAGTGCGCAAGAATGGAGACTTCGTTTTTGTAGGAAGATTAACATAATTCGACGTAGACTATAAAATTTAAATTTTTTAGCTTAATTTAATTATAACTATCAGAAATGACATGTTCACTTACTCTCATTGTCGCAAGCTTTGATTTGAATCTGTCTGGAGTTTTTCCAATGAAATAATGGCGAGTTTTGCGCAACAAAACTCTTCTTCATATGAAATCTTTTGATAGGTTGCCGTTTCTTAAAACATAAATAACAAAGGTATTGACTATTTGAATAAGGATGATTAGGTATTATACGAATATTCATACCTGAATTCCTTGAGATTTACGACCAAGATGATTTTTTACTTGCTTAGCAGTATTAGTAGGTTGCGGAACTTGCGGAACTTGTTGCAAAATCTATGGAATTTAGGAAACGTGTAGTTAACAAAGTTAATAACAAGACCATATTAATGCTTCGAAAAAAAATCCGCTCAATGTACCAAGAAAGGTGTCTCCCTCACCAAAAGTTATGTCGTTATTAAAGTCCCTATAATGTGGAGCAAGAAATGAAAATGTACCATGCTGTTCAACCGTTTGTCAAATCCATCAAAACGTGTAATGATTCTACGATAAATGTAAGCAGATTCGTCTACAGGATTAACGATTGTCGATTGTCATTTCAGAACCAGATATTTGTCATCGTCGAGGCGAGGCCTGCCTAAGTTACCTTTCTAGAATTTTGGAAATTAAGAATATGCTTATAGTAAAACATTTCTTCTTTACTGTAAACGGATTCGATTTACAGATCCAGACTGTAAGGCAAATTGCGTGAAATTGGTGTGATTTAATCCTTGTTAAGATTTCTTTTAGCAATTCTTCTCCATTAGGAAATATAGGACCCCAAATCCTGTTGTAAATATATTGAGTTGCGTCTTTAATTATTAAATCAAAGATCTAAAGAAGGAGTGTTTTCAAATTCAACTCCAGGTGATTTTGCCAAGCTCCTTTATGAAATTTCAGGCAATATAAGTCTTTTGGGATGGGATCTATTTGTTCTACAAACCATTTTATAAAATCAATAAAAATTGAATTGAAAAGTAAGTGCCCAGTAATTATAATGCGTACCAGTAAAACGGTAAAACTGTTATCATTTCCATGATCAATATTCATGAAATTCGTTCAACTGCTAAAGATCACTGTAACTTTATCACTATAAATAACCGGTTGGCTTATGATCACGTGAACGAACATGACTCCAATTTCCGACGCGTGTATGGCCAATGAAATCAACGCAAAAGTATCAAGTTAGCATCGCGTAGTGGGTCAAGAACGATACATTGCAGCTTCAACAGCAATTGTTATAATCTACGTTTTTTCTTCTTTGAATTCTCATTCTTCTTGATTCTCTCTATTTATTGCTCAAGGAATTTATTTCCCTAATATGATTATAACCTTTATCATCAACAACACTATCTATTATCTAATAATTATAACTTTACTAATGTTCAAGCTGAAATTCCGGAGAAATCTTTTGGAAAAGTATAATCGCGCACAATACTTGTGATTCGTCTATACTATGTGAGGAACTCTAGATTAGGTGAAAGCAGAGCCTACCCCAGTAGACAGTAGTTAAAGAAATTTCGTTATTATTAACTGTGTTGGGTTTGGGTGACGTTGAGATTTAATCTTTGCAATTTCACGTGATGAACTCCGTTCTTGTCTTTTACTCTTAGAGTGTAGTCTATATAATATACTATATTATAAAGAACGTGAAAAGTGATGGATAAGAGAATCATTTGAAAAAGTTTGTTCAAGATTTTTACATAAAAAAGTTATCGTTATTTTATTGTCTAATTTAATCACATAATTAATCAATTATTAATCAATCGCATTTTAATAAATTCCTGTGTTCTAATTAACCGCGTTTCAGTCTCAGTCTTTGTTTCATTCTTACCATTAACTTTCCTTCCCAACAAAAAATAACCCTTACTTTTTAGGTAGTTCACGATGAAAAGATAAGGATAAATTAATTGATCACGTCTTCTACATCATAACCATAAATACCTTTCCTGCTTCTACTATTATTTACCGTCATCACCATCATCACCTACTCTATTTTCATCATTGTTTTCACTTTGGAACATTAACATCTTTGATTATTAATTGTGTGAAAAATTAACAAATTTATCTATCCATACAAGTTCAATTACAAAATAACAGTTATCTTTTGGAATTTTTTGGCATTTGTGTATAAATTTGCAATTAAAATAAATTTAACGCAAAAATTTAAAAAAAAGATATAGAAGTGTTTATTACATATCCACCGAAGTCCACACATCCATGTGAGCTTCTACGTGTTTTAATTCTTCAATTGTTGAATGACTCATTAATTTCGATTTAGTAGACCATTCTTAAATATTGCTGTAGTCAAACAGTTATCTTCCATTACTTTAATATCAAATTATATTATTAGGCTGTAGCGTATAGTATCTCGTGTGACAATAAAATTGATTGATCGTCATTTTTGTTCACATCATATCTGATCAAATTTTAATTACTTAATGCATGGTTTAGTGCCGTTATCTTGGAAGACATTCTTAATTTTACCGATATCAAACCACAAAACTTTAATTATAATATTAATAATACACGTCCTATTGCGCTTCTTGATTGTATCAGAAAAGCGATCGCCAACTTGGTATAGGCTTAGTTCAATTATTTCAGATAACAATGCCTTAAAAGGACTTAATTTCTGTGGATTAAAAGTCGAAAGTACTATCAATTCTTACCAGTATCATAAAAGACTCCAGAGAAATAAAAAGAATTATGGATAGCGGCGTAAGATAAAAAAAAGTAATAAGGTCCTTGGCTACAATGGGATACCAGACAAGGTTTAGTGTTCAACAGGCTGGACATCATGGAGTCCCTCAGAGTCGTAGACGATTATTTATATGGGGAGCAAAACGCGGGTCATACCTTCCAGATTTTCCTCAACCATCTACTTGTTTTAGAACCCTATAAAAATTTTTTGGCAAATTGATCAAAACTAGAAAAATGATCATTTATCGGAATTTTCTCGGAAAATTTTTATAGGGAAACAAGGTTCAATAAATGTATTACTACCAGATGGCACATCATTTACATATAACCATTGGAGAAAGCTTATGATTTTGGTAATAAGATCCTTGACTAGGTTTAGTGTTCAACCTCATGGTCGTAGACGATTATTTATATGGGAGCAAAACGCGGGTCATACCTTCCAGATTTTTCTCAACCATCTACTTGTTATCGAGCCCCTATAAAAATTTTTGGAAAATTGATCAATTTTCCTAAAACAGTTTCGATCCGACGAAGGATGTAAAACTGAATTGTTTTGCGGTACTGTTAAAGTTTCGCTAGAGAAGTTAACAACGCCTATAATGAAACTAGAAAAATGATCATTTATCGGAATTTTTCTCAGAAAATTTTTTAATATATATATATAGGGAAACAAGGTTCAATAAATGTATTACTACTAGATGGTACATCATTTACATATAACTATTGGAGGAAGCTTGTTTTCGAAACAAGGTTCAATCAATGTTTACTACCAGATGGCACATCATTCACATATAACCATTGAGAAAAGCATAGGATAAAAGGATTGTCCTTAGCACTTCGATAGAATTGACGTTCCTCCGCGATGTCCGAACTTGCTTTTATCAAACACTCTTCCGAAGAGTGGAAGAAGACACAAAATTTGAAACTCAAATTCGAGAAGATCCAAGATGTCTTCTATTGAATTATTCATCTTTTTATGTATAGAAAAATGAGTGTCCTCACTTATTATGGAACAAGTCCACAGTTTGTAGTCAACGATGAAATAGATCAGGGCGACACTCGATCACATGCCTACTCATCAAGAGTTAAAGTCATGTGGCAACTGACACTTGTATTTGGATAGATAGATAGAGAGACAATCCTCAACCTAAACAGGAGCTATTAACAGTACGAAACAAGTTGGACATAGATTCACAATTAATTTTAATACAGATGGTTAATTGGCGTATAAAGAAATAGCATCACAAATGGGCGACATAGATTTAGAAACATAAATATCAATGGGCGCGGCTTTCATTGTTCAAGAAACTAATTAATCAGTTAACGCAAGTTTATCTTTATGGGCAACGTAGACTAGACCAGGATTAGTGGTTATATTTTTGGCATTATTAGCAGCTCCGTGCTCTTCACTACAGATAGTCAAGCGGCTATTCATGCGATCAATAACATTCAACAACTTTCCTCCCGTAAGTGGTTAAAAAGAAATAATTTTCTAATTCTCCTTAAAATATTATTGATCTTGTATAGAACTTAGATTAGTTAAAATTAAAGGACATAGTTGCATATAATTAAATGAGACAATTGATAGATCGACGAAGGAGGCAGGCAATTTGGATAAATTTTATCATAGTCATCCTAATATTCGTTATTCGTTATTTTCCTTATTGAGAAATTTGTTAAACGGACTTCCAAAACACGAAATGCAGCAGAACACTCATCGTTAAAGTTAACAGTGTACACATGAACTAACTGGAAACGATCTCGAATGGGATATTACCCGAAGCATCTTCAAACAATTCAGAGCTTCAAATGTGATTCAATGGCTAAACACAAAATTTTCATATTTGTTACTAAACTATCTTACAACCTCCTTCCTACTGCATATATGTTAAAAAGAAGGAAAGACGCGCTTTACGAAGATCTAACGTGTCCATCATGCAACTCAGCCACAGTTGAAACGACGGCAATTGCCTGATTTATAGTAATCAAAATCATGAAAACTGATGATGCTATAACACTAGTGTCTCGATTAATAAGTCCAAATGATTTCTCGAAAAATTCGAACCTTTTTTCAAACAAGACACTAAAACGAGACTTCCGCGATCATATCAAAGCTGACGATGAGTAAAATCAGGATATCAAGATCTAAGGCGCTAGCGTATTTGACGCACTTCTAGTCACACTTATTAAATTATTTAAAGAACTCGTATGGATTATGAGATGCAAAAATATGATCAATGGGGAGAAAGGATACAACATCGTGGTGCACGATAAAAGGGCCTCCTCATCACAATCTCCGAATATACATACGACCGAATCGAGCATGGAGACGAAATTCGAGATGTTATATTCTTGACGTGCATATAATATATTACATAGAGATGAGTCAAGAAGGTAATTTTACTGTTTTAACATTACACATTTTAGGCCGTGGCCCATAATATGAAAAAATATACATATATTATTGTCAATTTAATAAAATTTTTTTATATTGCTCAATTAAGTTTATAAAAAGAAAAAGAAGGTTGAGTACGATGAGTCGGCGATTCTATAACATTGTGTTATAGTGTTATTTTAGTAGTAAGATTTTTTTTTATTATATCATCAAATCAATTCATTAATTCATTATTTTTATTTTAATTTTAATTAAATTAAATTAATATTCCTTTTTTTTTGATTACAGGTAATCTTTAAAAAGAGATTATGTTATCGGTCATAGCGGTGATCCTATAACTCTAAATTTTAGTAAGAATTTTAAGGTTGGCAAAGATATTGTTATGGAGGAACTGGTTCGATTTTTAAATGAAAGAAGTAGCATGACCAACAATTGCAAAACGGGTAATTGTTACTGAATTATTAATATAATATTTTTGATTATAAAATATTCTTTGGTCGGCTTTAACAGACGTATAGAAAACCTTTATTAGATGACTAAAACTGATGCCAATCAGGCCAATCAGACCAATCAGACCAATCAGAAGAAAAGAGCAGTATATAAAGATTCTTACGCAAAAAAAAACTGATGGTCAATTAGGTCAATCAGGTCAATCAGGCCCGAAAGAACTGATTAGCTAAAACGTCAGGTCCAAATAGGAGGTCTGGGCTAATGAAGCTACCTTTTTTCGGTCGAAATTGGGTGCGGGCGAGTAGTGATCATTGGATAAAATAAGGGTGATGCGCCTGTCGGCCCTATTATTAGTGAGGTTAGTCCAGTACAAAACCAACAAGTAAATTAAAAAAGTTGATGGGAAGAAGGATAAGATTGAAGAAGCTGATGATAATGGCGAGATTCAATGTTTATTTTGGTAAGTTTATATTTTACTTGTACATATATTATTAAAAAAAAGATA